ATGGGGGCAGGGGCCCGTGAGCCGTTAAGACCTGTGTCGAGTTTGAATGGAGCTTGGATTCTGCGCCAATACTCACCGCGTTGTCGGCTGTGACTAATGGCGTTTTCTGTTATACCTCGTTGCCCGCCAGGCGTGAATGATCGATTACTATCGATAATTACAAAAGCTATGGCAAAGAATCGATTATTAAGGTGTTCGTTGCGAATATCCTGATGATCGACCCTTTTCCATAAGGTTAAACTGCAGGTTAATCGATTCATTATAAAGCACGCCGCGGTACTGCAGGCGTGAATGATCGAATATCGATTTTTCCCAATTTGAAGCTATGGTAAAAAATCGATTATTATGGTGCTCGTTGCGAACACCCTGTTTATCGATACTTTTCCATAGGTTCAAATGATGGTCAATCGATTTATCGCAAAGCACGCCACGGCACTGCAGGCGTGAATGGTCGATTATCGATACTTCCCCATTTACGGCTAAGGTAAAGAATCGGTTATTATGATGTTCGTTGCGAACGCCTCGATGATCGATATTTTTCCATTGGTTTATAGGGCAGATGAATCGATAAATCGCAAAGCACGCCACGCCACTGTTTCTGTTACTTCGTTGTCGAACAACACGACGGCGCAATTACTCGCTTGATTTAACGAGATTCCACGCCCGAAGTTGTGGCATACCTCTGGGGGGAGAGCATGGGCGCGTTGGTTTTCAACGCCGATCGACATTCGGGAGACTCCGCAGTAATACCATCCCAACTCGCACCAGGCTCTTTTAAAATGTGTCTGTGAAAATTCATCACGGAAAAAAATTAAATGTTGCTTTAGCATTTATAATGTTAAAAAAATGTGCGAGAAGATTCAAATGCTGTTTTTACATGAAAAAATGCTAACTTAACTACGGCTACGGTTAAATTAACATATTCAAAAGTAAAGTTAGCATTTTTTAATGTAAAATCAGTATTTGAAACATCTCGCACATTTTTCCAGGATTATAAATGCTAAATCAACATTTAATTTTTTCCGTGTTGGGTTCGGGAGTATTGAGTACCTATACATATAGGGAGAGTATTGCCATGTCTGTGCTGCTCTCTGATTGGTTTATTTTGTGCATTTTGCAAGTTGACAACTGGCCTCTCAGAATCATCGGTTTAAACTCTTGACAACTTAGATTTTACCACAATGATGAATAGGCCACTTCTGACAGAACGGGGTTTTTATTTTATTATCTTTTCTGCCTAGGGGCTGACAATTATTATACCGTGGGTTATTTTTTGCTTTTGGCTCACAGCAGCTTGAGCTGCGTTGCCTTACTGCTTCAGTAAAAACATAATCTCTGAGTTTAGGCAAGAAAAAAAAGTGTGTAAATAAGATATAAAAGCACAGTGCGTACTACTAAAGTTAAACCCTTTTTTTACTTTTTCTTTTTTAGTATTATCGTGTAATGCTCTTGCAATCGTTTCGGCGAAATTTTTCACCTTGCCAGCTTTTTTTTTTATTGACAATTCCGGTTAATTTTATGCATGTCGATTTGAATTTTTATTTATGTTTTATTTTTATTTTATTTTTTATCATGACAACAAGGTCACGGACTAAAATCAGCTCTCCATTTTCGATTGGGTTTATTTGTCTTTAAGCCGAAATAGTAGCTCCTTTTATCTTTCTAAGTTCGAAAAAAAAATACTGATTGCATCCTCAGAATAGTTCCTATAACCATCAGACGCTTTGGAGGCTTATGAATTTCATATACTACTACCACTATAATCACAAGGTTTTAAAAAACCTTCCAATCAGATTTGTTGTTTGATTTTTAAATTTGATTTGAAATACCTCAAAGTCTATCATGCATTCTGGAAATATATTTGCTTAACTTGAAAATTCCACCACCCACCACGTAAGTCTGAAATTGTCCATTCAGTTCGTAGTGAAATTAGAGTGGAAGCGTTAGCATTTATTTTAGATCGCGGACTCCAACCATGTTCACGAAACCATAAAAATCGTGAACGCGCAATGCGTGAAGTATTCCCACAGTCTTGTAGGCGCTAATATGCGTCTGGCGCAATGCGTGAAGTATTCCCACAGTCTTGTAGGCACTGATATGCTTTTCGCGCCGATCGCACCGTGTTTGGCGCGATTAGTTGCTACAACTAGTTACTACAACAGTCAACTAGTTACTACCATCGAATCGTGAGATGAATTTTATTTTCCGGGTCAATTAGGCGCCATGGCGCTCCATACTTGAGACCACGGTTACTCGCCCCAACCCTCAGCGTATGAGCGATGACTGATGGGGGTCGGATAAGAACCGCGGCCGGGATCAAAGTTGATGTCAAAGTTAGTGACGGCGATTAGAGACCCAGCTCCATCCCACCAGCGGGCGGCCTCGGCCTTTGTCCGGTTTTTTCACGCCGTGTATCCTAACAAAAAACGTATTCGTGGTTAGAACCGACCACATGGGTGCAATTTTGCGAATTCTGTCAAGATGTTCAGAGCGCGGCGTACTAGTCGCACACAATAATCTAAAAACTGTCTTAGTTTTGAAAAAAATGTGAAAAGTAACCTGACTAGAACTAAGTCA